TATATATATATACATACACACACATACACACAAATCCCAGTCAAAGCCTACAAAGCCCCTACTTCTCTAATTCATCTCCCACTACTATCTCCCTTGCTTGCTCTATTCCAGCCATACTGGTCCCCTTTCTGTCCCTCAAACATATCAGCTTCATTCCTGTCTTAGGGTCTTGATATTTGCTATTTCCCCTGATTGGGGTTCTTGTCCCCATGATCTCACAGATGTTTGTTTTTTCCTCATTCAATTCTCAGCTCAAATGTTCTCTCTTCAAAGAAGCCTTTTGTGACCTTGCTATCTAATATGTTTCTCTCTCTGAGTTTACCCTGTCTTATGGCCTTGAGTCCTTGTCACTCTCTCAAATGATCTTTCTTATATATCTCATTCTTGTTTAGTGTCTGTCTCTCTGACAACAGGATTTCATTTTGTATGTATATTTTACTCATTTGTATCTCTGGGGCTTAGAATAGTGACACATAGGTGCTTGGTAAATTTTTGTTAGCTTCCTGGAAGGTGTTGGAGTTAATCAAGGTCGAAGAAGAGGCAGTCCTGGTTAGAGGACTTGGAATGTTGTCAACCTGACCCTGCTACAGCAGAAAGAGGTCCTGACCAAGTGGAACCAGGAACCAGATCAAAATGTGCCCATTAGAGAAGTCACTCAGAGGTGTCTCACCTCTGCAGCTGGGCCAAAAAGTGCCAAAACAGCAGGTTGTGTCCTGGGCTTGGAGCATCTAGAGTATGAGACAAGGTCATGAGGTTTCCCCTCCAGAAGAAGCATAGTAACTAGAGTTTAACCTATCAGCATATCAACAGTCAACAGGACCCCTCCTCCTGTTTGGGTGACATTCAGGGGCAATGAATTGTGTGGGGACAACTGATAAGTCCAGCTCTAATCCAGATATTAAGTAGGTTCCAAAGACGAATCCAGGCGGAAGTCAGAACCAGGCAGAGATGAGAACCAGACCAGGGACTTAGCTGAGCCTGAGGCTAAATGAGCATGGGAGAGTGCTGCAGGGATGAGCCAGGCAGGACCAGACAGGCTCTTTGTTTGGGTGGGAAGCACATCTGGTGTGCATTACCCTTTGCTGTCTGGGAGCAGAACTGCATACTCCTAACAGGAAACAGCTCAGGAGCTGTCATCCCAGGACCTGCTCACAGTGGGATTCCAAGAAGAGGGGCCCCAAAGGAGCCCCCCTCCCCCATCTTCTTGGGGCTGTTGCAGATATGCCTTTACTAGCCAGTTTTTATAAGGACCACCCAGAGCTCCCATTGTCTCAAAAACCAGGTGCAAATAGTTCTCCCTGATGCACAGATCCTTTCCAAACTCAGCTCTCCACCAGGGTTCTTCTTGGGCCAGACTCCCAGGTGTCCTCCCATCCAACCCCAAAGACATTCCTACCTCCTTACTTTTGCCCAGTACCCTCCTCTTTACCAATCAAAAATTATACTATATTCAATAGACACAATAACTCCATTTGGTTTTCTGCAAGCCTGCCCTGATGTTGAGTACATAGTATTTTCTCTTTTTTAGTATTTATTTTTTAGTGGTAGTTGGACATAATACCTTCATTTTATTTATTTATTCATTTTATGTGGTGCTGAGGATGGAACCCAGAGCCTCACACAGGCTAGGTAAGCACTCTACCACTGAGCCACAATCCCAGCCCCAAGTACATAGTATTTTCAATCCCCATAGTATAACCTTGGACTTGATGTTGTCTAATTCTTCTTCTCAGGTAGTTAGTGTTGTACATTGTCCCTGTGACTAGATTATAGGGCCTTTGAACATAGGGGACATGTCTCTTGTAACATATATTCCATACCATCCAACAAAGTTCTGGGGGCAGCCAGGTGCAGTGGTGCACACCTGTAATCTCAGCAGCTTGAGAGCCTAAGGCAGGAGGATCATGATTTCAAAGTCCATCTCAGCAACTTAGTGAGGCCCTAAGCAACTCAGCAAGACCCAATCTCTACATAAAATATAAAAAAAAAAAACTGGGGATATCCCTTGTGTCTCAGTGATTAGTGCCCCTGGATTCAATCCATAGTACCAAAAAAAAAAAAATCTGGGAGCATAATAGCTATTTGCTAGCTTCAGCCCTGTCCCATCCAAGAAAGGAAAAGGGAGGACAGGGTGACACCTTTGGTGTCCAAGCCATCTTGGTAAAAAACGGGAAACAGGATCTAACTACTGTATACTTTTTATTTTTAAACTTTAGGAAATAAGAAGAGAACAGTCTATCTGTACATCCAAAGGCACACTCCTAGGAAACACTGTGTCCACATCTCGTTTCAAAACTTTTCTACCTGACCACCTGCATTGTCTTTCTAGAAAAACATCTGGCCTATGTGTCATCCCCTCTGGGTTTTTCTTCTACCCACTGATGACACTGAGCAAGAGAATTAATTAGTCCCAATGAAATGATTCAATGGGTATTTCAGGTAGCATGAAAGTCTGGTAGGGAGTGTGCATTTGCATGAGTATTTCACTATAGTGGGGCAAGCTCATTACAATCTGGAATGTCTTCTTGGGGCTGAAGGTGTAGCTTAGTGGTAGAGCATTTACTTAGCATGCACCAGGGCTCCAAATTCAAACCACAGTAGTGCAAAAAGAAAAAAAAATGTCTTCTAGGAGGAAAGCAAAACATAAAGCCATGTGATAATCTATACAAATTTTATTTTGATATCAATTTGTATGGAAACAAGCAGGTGTCAGCATTATGCAGGCACAGAAAAAGGGAAAGAAAAAACTCCAGTGACAACTTGTATTTACAACATTTGGTTTCAACAAGGACAGGAAGCTTTACTGTTAGCTTCCTGTGGGAACTCCAGTTTCTGCACCTTCCCCTGCTGCCTCTCAGCATCTCGATACAACAGAGATTTCTGGGCCTTCAATCGGCAAGCCAGGCACATGAAAATTGACTCCACATTCTGGCTCTCTTTGGGGTCCTTGGCTGATGTCTCAAACAAGAGCATGTTGTGGGCATCAGCAAATTTCAGGGCTAGGTTGGAGGGCACCTGAATCTGTTCCCTCAAGTCACACTTGTTGCCCACAAGCACCTTCGGAACTAGTGGGGGCACAGCATGCCCATTGCATTCTTGGATCCACATTTTGAGGTTGGTGAAGGAGGTCATCTTGGTGACATCATAGACAAAGACTACTGCATGCACATTGCGGTAGTAATGCTCAACCATGCTTTTACGAAAGCGTTCCTGACCTGCTGTGTCCCACACCTGAACCTGGAAGATACAAAAATCCATATGTGGAGTCAGAAAAGGAAACATAAACAGACAAAAGAAAATATGGTCTTGTAGCATAAGAAAATGAGGTTACAGGGGCTGGCATTGTGGCTCAGTGGTAGAGCACTTGCCTAATGTGTGAGGCACTGGATTCAATCCTCAGCACCACATAAAATTAATTAATTAATTAAAGGTATTGTGTCCATCTACAATTAAAAAACAAAAAGAAAAAAAAAAGAAAATGTGGTTACAAGCTCCGACATAGGAAGTGGTTCTTGACAGATAAGCAGAATGGAATTATCAAAGTACAGACAGAAATTTTAGGGTTTGTCAAGTTTTTCTTAAGATTATTAGTTGCAAATAGAGTTGAAAATCTGAAGGCTTTTAGTTTAAACACTGGGGCATAAATTGGTCAAATTTTCTGGAGGGTACTTTGGCAATATTATCCAAGAAATACTCACAAATTTTGGAATTTGTAATCCCACTTCCAGAAATCTATACAAAAGACGTAATAGAGATGTGCTCAAAATTCTGCACAAAGATCTTAACCATGGTATTATTTATACTCTTCTAAAAACAGGAAACAATCTAAATGCTTACTAGGAAGCAAAAGTGTATAGCTATTCAATGGGCTATTATGCAGCCATTAAAAATAATGTTTCCAAAGAATAAATGATAAGAGAAATGCTCACAAAGTACAAGGAAGTGAAAAACAAAAGAATAGATACAAGATTTTTTCAGGATTGGAGGTATAACTCAGTGGTAGAAAACCTGGGTTCAATCCCCAACACCACCAAAAAAATTCATATGCTATTGTCTTGATTTTTAATAAAACACTAAACATAAACATGTGTATAGGAAAGAATGGAAGTGTATATAGAACATTAATGGTTATATATATTTATGGGCAGCAGGACTATAGGTGACTTTTTTTGTATTTTCCAAGTTTTCTACCATAAATATGCATTGCTTTATTTGGAAATTTTTTTCTTTTTCTTTTCCTTTTTTCAGTGCTGGGGATTGAACCCTGTGCCTTTTTTCATGCTAGGCTGGCACAGAACTACATCCCCAGCCATATTACATTACTTTTTAAAGAAAGAAAAGTTAGTGTTAAAATCTCACCTTTCAGCTGAATTTATTTAAGTCACTGGAATTTTCTTCTGCACTTTGACCTTTTTTTATTTTTTTATACTGGGGATTGAATCCAGGGGTGCTTAACCACTGAGCCACGTCCCCAGCCCTTTTTATTTTTGAGACAGAGTCTCAATAAGTTTCTTGGGGCCTAAGTGGCTGAGGCTGGCCTCAAACTTGTGATCCTCCTGCCTCAGCCTTCCAAGTCACTGGGATTATAGGCATGTGCCACTGTGCCCGGCTGGCTTTTTTTGATAAGACCAATTTATAAAGGAAAAAAAGCTGGTATCACTAACATGCACAAAGAGAACACCCAGGGAACACACACACTCAAGCCCAATCCTTTTGCCCTTTATACATCCAACATCTTGGACAAGAGACATGCATGCTCAGAGTGATGGTCCCAATGCCCTATACAATTCTCGGCTATCAAATAAAATTTGATTATGGCCACTAATTGATTACTATGGCTTTTAAAATGATGTACAGCCTTTGTTTGGAGTTAGTGGTCCATAAATATAATCTAGTAAATATAATTGAATCACTCTGCTGAGTGAAGATCTTACAGGGCCCCAGAGTCATCATTCTGAACATCAGTTTTCATTGTCCTGGCTCTCCTTCATCATCCTCTACTGACATGGCTTCAAATGTCTCCAGCATAACCCCCTCTTCTATTTCAGTTTTCATGTCCCTTGGTCAGACCTTCGCCTCCTTGCTCCTGGACTACAGTATTCTTTTGATTTCTGGATATATCCACTCCACTGTCTTCTGAATGCTACTTTCAAACTAGCCTTCCCAAATCCCCACTTGTATCTGAATGTCTTCTTATACTTCAGGAAATTATAGTGGCCCTCTACTGTGTGTGACTTCAAATGGAAAATTTTCTGTCTGCCATAAGTTGACTCTCCCAACCTGGATTCAAACTATTCAGGTAGCTACACCTGGTTCATTTGATCCTGCTAGTCCACCCTTCTACTGTAGATTTGCTTGCCCCCTCTTTGCCCTATCCAAATCCCACTCATTCTTGAAGGCTAAGCTCATATCTCCATCTTCTTTCTTCTTCCTCAAACTTTCTAAATATCTCTCTCTCTCTCTCTCTCTCTCTCTCTCTCTCTCTCTCTCTCTCTCTCTCTCTCTCCCTCCCCCCTCTAGTACCAGGGATTGAACCTAGGGGCACTTAACAACTGAGTCACATCTCCAGCCCTTTTTATGTTTTATCTTGAGACAGGGTCTTGCTAAGTTGCTTAGAGTCTTGCTGAGTTGCTGAGGATGGCCTTGAACTTGTGATCCACTTGCCTCCTGAGCCACTGGGATTATAGGCATGTGCTACTGCACCTGGCTACTTTCCCCACTTTCTATACAATTTTTTTTCCTTAGGAATTTCTTTTTGCATTTTGAGTCTGTATCATACCATTTAGAATATATTTGTGTTCTCTGATTGTCTCCTCAGTGCTCTTGGCACCTCTCCAGCTAGACTGTAAGCAGTCTTTTTCTACATCAGATCACTTACCATCAAGGTTTTCATTATCATCAAAAGCACTATTGGCCTGAGCCACCAAAACTACAAACAGTCTGGCAGTCTAGGTATCTGCCAGGGCCATTTCAGAGAGAATATATGACTTTTGTTACATAGAAAAACCTATGTCCTTGAAGATGGATTTGCTTCTGCAAAGACAAAAGATTTTCATTTCTTCCACCTCTCTGATGCTCTGAACAGGATGAAAGGGGAAGTAGGCTGAGAGAGGACTGGAGGTCATGGGGAAGGGAGCAGGTCTAGCCCAGGAATATCATTACCACTTGGCTCCTGATCTCCACTTCCCACCCTGCCCCCCAGTAGTCTTAACTCTCCCTCCTGCCTCTGAGTAAGGCTGAATCCCTATCAGCCCTCAGGCATGTGGCAGATGCTTTAACACCATGAGCTCAGGATTCTAAAAATACCTGCCACTAGCAGGAACACGGGTGGGAGTGTGTGAGGTGTTTGAGGCTGAGTAAGGTTGGCTGTTTGGCTTTTCATTGGCTTCCTAATTGTGTATACCACCCAAGTTGCCGGAACTGCAGGGAGGGCCCTCTCTGCTGGAGACCTCCTCTGCCTTTCCAAGGGTATTGCTATCAAGAGCCTCCTTCTGGAAGCTTTTATTTGGAGGCTCAGAATTTCAACAGTAGGCATTGCTCCCAATCCAGCTCTTTAAAAACCTAATCTAAGTTATTTGCACCCCTGTCTGTGGTGAGAGGTAAGCCTGGAAGCAGGCTGCTCTCAGCATTGCAGTCTCAGAGCCCTCAGAAAAGGAGCAATAGCTGTTAGGTTCACCAGATATGGGAAATGATCTCTTTGTGTTTTGAGGTTCAGTGTTCTGTTCTTCTCGCCATTTTTATAACCCCTGGCCCATGTCCTTTCCATAAATATCACCTCTACCCTGTGTGCAGGGATGACCACAACCTCTTAGACACACACACACACCCCAGATCCTCATTTCTCTCAGATGGCCAGTGGGGCATAGTGGAATCAAATCAACATGTCTGCATTTCATGGCCCAAATTATGTAATTGTTGGGTGTCCTTAGGAAAGTTAATTTCCCTATCTTCAGTGTCCTTATCTGCATAAATGAAGATAGCAGTAGCTATCATGTGAGTTAACATTCCTTGTAAGTACATGACATTATGACTAAATATAGTCAGCCCTCAGTATCCCCAGCAGCTTGGTTCTAGAATCCTTGGAGGATGCCCAAATCATGGAAGTTCAAGTCCACTATGCAAAATGCTGTTATATTTGTATATAACCTATACTCATCCTCCCATATTCATTAAATCATGTTTAGATTATTTATAATACCTAATACAAAGTAAATGCTAAAAAATGGTTGTTATAATGTATTATTTAGGGGAGAATGATAAAAATGTTTGCACATGTTCAGTACAGATGCATGTTTGTTTTTTTTTTTTAATGCCAAGGGGGTTCATGCCATGGATTGAACTCAGAAGCACTCAACCACTGAGCCACATTCCCAGCCCTATTTCGTATTTTATTTAGAGACAGGGTCTCACTCAGTTGCTTAGTGCCTCACAGTTGCTGAGACTGGCTTTGAACTTGTGATCTTCCTGCCTCAGCCTCCCAAGCTGCTGGGATTACAGGCATGCACCACCACACCCAGCTGAAAAAAAAAAGATTTTTTTTTGTAGTTGTAGATAGGCAAAATACCTTTATTTTACTTATTTATTTTATGTGGTGTTAAGGATCGAACTCAATGCCTCACACATGCTAGGCAAGCACTCCACCACTGAGTTACAGCCCCAGCTGCAGATGCACTTTTTTCAAATAATTTTGCCCCTTGGTTAGTTGGATCCTTACATGTGGAACCCATGGATATAGAGGACCAACTGTCTGAGAAGCCCAGAAACCCCACCACTGAATCTGGATGGACAACTGATTATATGCTATTGGAAAGGCATCATTCCAGCTCTTCTCCTTAGTATCTGAGTAAAAGACTAAGAAAGTAATTTAACCACCCTCAACTGAGCCACACTTTCTTCCTCTGCACATTGGGAACTCATTCTCTCATGGTGGCTGGGATGAGCCAGTGAAATAATATGAGAAAGAGCTTCTGCAAAATGTAAAGTTCTCTGTAAATATTAGTTGTTATTCTCCGAAAGCTCAGCAGCCCTCCCCATTAGTCTTGCTCCTTGGATCTTTTGGGTTTCATCCTGGAAAGCACAGAAAGCTTGGCTTCTCCAAACTGAAATATAGCCAAGGCAAGGGCAATCCTGTGGGGAGACAGAGAGGAATGTGGTCAACATGCCATGGGGGGCTGGAGGCAGGTGGGTGCCAGAAGAAGGTTGCAGGGCACAGCATGGGGAACTGCCAAAGATCAATTGAACAGTTTTAACCATTTTCCTGGGGCTATCCCTGCCTATGCAAGATTTAGCAAGCCTTGCATCCCCTGCACGTGCTCCTAGCTGACATGGGTATTTCTTTTCTCTAGGGAATATATCTTTCTACAGATGAGGCATGAATGTCCTTTTGTTGGAGGCTGATGGGGGAGGGTAAAAGTGCAAAAAATGGAGACAAATACATTTCTAACCTTTGGGGGACACCCCAGTGGGTGATGGGAAAAGTTTAAAAGAAATCCTTTTTCAACTAGCTGGATTGTCCATCTGCATCTAAGATACACACACAAAGCTGATACAGAATGGCAAAGGAGGACAGAGACAAAGAGAAACACACAGAGAAAAAGCAGCAGCCAGGGAGACAGACACACACACACACTGATGGATAATTAACCATTAAGCTAACTGGCAGAGGATGGGAGGAAGCTCAGAAGCCCTAAGGAAGACATGATGTCATTCTGACTGCAGGCAGCTTCTGAGGAACACTGAGCTCAGCCTCCATCCATTCGGTATAGTAACCCAAGACAGTGTTTTGTTCTCAGTGATCAGCAGAGGAAGAGAAATCCACAGTCCTAGGCTGCACCTGCCACAGCCACAATTGACCTGCAGTTTGACTGGCTCTGAGGGCTGGGACAGAAAGGGTACCCAGCCTGGTGAAGGAAACAAACTAAACAGGAGGGCTTCTTCCATGAGAATTTATCAATAATGGCTGAAAAAATAGTTTCTGAGTTTCCCTTCTACTTCTTACCCCCCAAACTCTATTCATTGTTTTCTGAGGCTTTTCCTCATTTTCCTTTCTTTCTTTCTTTTCTTCTTTCTTCTTTTGTGGTGCTGTGGATGGAATCCAGGGGTTTAAGTAAGTGATCTACCACTACATCCCCAGCCCTTTCCAGTGCTTTTAGACTGAGGCAGACTCAATATGGTTTAGTTAAACCTGTGACAGACACATAGGGAAGTTCCATCCTACCTTTCAGGGTTAGGCAATGCCTCCACCCTTCTTAGACTGATATCAGGAAAAACTGTCAGCTTTCCCATATGATGTCCCTCTGTGTGTTGTTACAGGTAACCTTGTAGGTTGGATGGACTAGTGGTGATTTATATGCTCTTCAAAGCATGATGCATGAAAATAGCACAAGAAAGGGAATTAGACTTGAGTTGCAGGCCTGCTCCTGTCTGATCTTGGGCATGTTTCTCTCTCTCTCTCTGAGCCTCAGTTTTCTATCTATAAAATTATTACATTGGATTAGAGAATCTCTAAGTTCTCTTCTATCTCGGAATATGTTCTAATTCTTATGCCCAAGGTGCAAAAAGCAAAACCCATGGACTCTAAGTGCTCTGAGTTATTTTTCTCCAGTGCTGAAGATGGAAACCAGAGCCTCATCCTTGCTAGGCAAGCACTCTTTAACTGAGCTACAAGCCCATCCCTGAAGGAGACATCTTGAAGGCTCCTGGGTCCTTGGGATACATCTTTGGGATGGCAAGACTGGCTGCCTCCCCCTGAGCACACTTCCCAATCTAGAGACTGGATATTTCCACCTAGAGCATAGCACAGAGGTAAAGAGCATGGGTTCTGAATCTGGGTTGAAATCCTGACCCTTGTTAAAAGGAAAGCAAGATAGAAAGAGGGGAAAAGTGCTTGAGAGTGAGAGTCAAAGACAGAAGCTCAGATCCATGTGTCATTGGGCAAGTTATTTCTTTTCCAACTTTAATCTCCTTATCTGTACAATGGGGATGATAACAGTCCTAATTTCCTAGGGTTGCTGTGAGTATCAAATAAGACAATGTATGTAAAGTGCCTAGCCTGGGCTCCTTGTTAATTCAGTAAACCAAAGTTGTTTACTAGTGTTGCTCTTCTTGAGGTCATTTTCACCAGGAAACACTGGATTGTAAATGTTGTGATGATGTGGGGGTGGGGGTCATAGTGAGAGGAGAGACCAAATGGGGCTTCAATTCCCTAGGGATGGCCCTGGTGATTAAGAGTGTAGCTTCAACTACAGCAAATCAGTCATTTCCCAGTAGGCACTGTCTTATGTCCTATTCTGGGACACAGGGAGGCAGTCCATGAGAGACCACACCCTACCCTTGGGCACAGGACAAGAGCTCCCTAAGACTTCTCTAGCATTCTCCTGCCAGGGCTGGGATTTTATGTCCTGACAGCCTTGTATTGCTGCTGGCTGTGGTCTAGGGCTATCTCAACTTGTCACACTGGACTTTTCTCCTTCCCCTGAAGGGGGAAGCCCTTTGGCAGCCATCTCCTAGCATGGTTTTGGCACTTGTTCTTTGAGAAACTCCAGGTCAGCCAGCTGATGAAGCAAAATCTTCTCCTATATAGATCATGTGCCAGCTGCCACAGACATGCTGGTCTCTTGACTGCTGGCTCTGGCCTTGATGTTGAAGCAGCTTTACAAGAAGCAGGTTCCCATCTCCCCATTCCTATATTCCACTTAGAGTTCCTACAGAATCTGCCCTCAGAGGGGCTCCTCCTTGAGCAGTGTCACAAGGCTTTGTCCTCTTGAAAATATCATCTTCCCAAAAAAGCCCGTATTAAGCACTTATCTGCACGTGGTGGTGTGCTGAGCTCTGTTTCTAGTGAGTCACACTGTCACAGGCTCTGCCCTCTGGGAAAAAGTCTAGAATCTTTGGCAGAGGCTGTGAAACCTAGTTGGGCTAAGCACAAGGGTATTGGAAGGGAAGAACATTTTCAAAAAGTCTCCCCGAGGCCATTGGGTAGCAAGCAGGGTCCATTCTTCACCTCCCATTCCTCACTTTCATACTTCTTTCTCTCCTCTCCTCTTTTCCCCTTCCCTAGACTCCCCAATACTTCCTTTATCCTTCACCCAAATTTCAAATGAATTTAATTCCCCACTTTTAAATCCAGGGTATCAACATTTAAGGATTTTTGAGAGTTTAAGAGCCCATCCATATATTTCCACTTTGGGGGAAAAAGCATATTTTAGACATTACAGAATCTTACAGCCTTACATTAAAGAAGCTAGACATACTAGAGGAACATCAAACATGATGCAAACATCAAAATGAGAGTCCCAGGAAAATATAGGGATAATTAACTACCTTGACTTTAAAAGGGTGTGTAGCAATCCCCCCCCCCCGAAAAAAAATGCAAGAAGAAAAAAGATCAGAATTTTCAAAAGAATGCTCTATCTTCCTGGACTGGGGTTGTAGCTCAGTGGTAGAGTGCTTGCTTTGCACCTGTGAGGAACTGGGTTCTATCCTCAGCACCACATAAAGATAAATAAATAAAATAAAGGTACTGTGTCCATCTACAACTCAAAATATAGACCCTAGTACTCTGCCTTATCAATATTGAACTGCTCATCTTCCTGACATCTAGTGCCTTGGCCTGGTTTCTGAAGCCATTTTAAACACATTCATTTTAGCTGGGCATGGTGGCAAATACCTGTAATCCCAATGATTCTGGAAGCTATAGGATTGCAATTTGAGGTCACCCTCAGCAATTTCGGAAAGCATTAAGCAACTTAGCAAGACCTTGTCTTAAAATATAAAATAAAAAGGGCTGGGGATGTTGCTCAGTGGTTAAGCACCTATGGGTTTAATCCCTGGTACCAAAACAAACAAACAAACAAACAAACAAAACAACAACCCACATTTATTTTAATAATCAAGGAGTCTTGCATATTTGGGAGTGTTTCATCAGTCTCCCCAGTTGCTCAGTCTTTCTCTCCACTTCAAAGAACAGTGGCCTTGCAGTTTCTTTGGCTGTTTGACCATAGGCTCAGGGAAAGGCCAACTGTGAGTCCAGAGGGTCTCCAGTGTCCCTAGTGCCTCTTTCTTTCTTTCTTTCTTTCTTTTGGTGGGGATTGAACCCAGGGCCTTGTGCATGTGAAGCAAGCACTCTATCAAGTAAGCTATATCCCCAGCAACCCCTAGTGCTTTTCAGGAGCTTCTTTTCCCATCATCCTGCCCCGTTCTCCTCCCATGGCAAGTTGCCCTTGCCATGTCCTCCCTCCTGCCACCCTTTGCACATTGACGTATTTCTGTCCTATCGAGTTTCTGCCTTTTCTGAACTAAATGTGAGTACAAATGATCAGACAAGAATATTTTGTACTTAGCCTATTTGATAAACTAATGGGGAAACAAGGCACTTTCTTTGGCCCTCGGTTAAGGTGCTCAGCAGCTTTTACAAAGGCCTTCTGAACAATACCAACAGAATGAGTTATGGGCAGTTCATTCATTAGGTACCCCCAGACAAGTAAAGAAACTATCATTTGAGAAAGACTGTTCCCCAAGAACAAGTTTTGTCTATTAGAAAGGTCCACCAGGTGATCCAGTCTCAATCCTTAAAAGGGTTCATGGCTTTGTGCATAAACACCCTACTCCACCCCAATTCCAACTCAGTCCTAATCTTAACTAATAAAGTGCAATTTAAAATAAGCAGCTTTCATTCTCTGTGGATTTCCATGCTTTCCTTCCCTCTGATGCCACCTGGCTTAGCAAAAGTGGTTTTTTTTTTTTTCAGCCTATTGGCACTCAAGAGGTATAAGAGACTTCAACATTGTGTAAAGTGCTTTGGGATCCATTCCATAGACTAGAACCAAGGGATGCCTCCCGCCTCCCTCTGCCCTCAGGTGCCGCTGCTCCTGCTCAGTAGGTCAGGGTCAAGGATGAAATCAAACATGCTTTTCCTGTCACAAACTGTCAGGCAGGGCAAAAGGTAAGAATGCAACCACTCCCACTTACACTAAAAAAATTGGGTGAAGTGGGGACCAGGTTCTGTGAGAGAGAAGAAAAGGGATGAGGAAGTGTGGAGGGTCTTGGGGCTCAGCAAGCTTCTATTCAGCCAATGCTGGGCATTTGCAACCACTAGAGCTATCCCTCAGACGAAGCCCCTTCCCAGCTCCCTCCCTTCCCAGATCTGACCAGCTGGATCACCTTGATCTTCTCGCCCTCGATTTCCACGGTTTTCTCCCTGAAATCCACACCGATGGTGGCTTCAGTCTTGTCCGGGAAGGTTCCCCCACAGAAACGGAAGGTCAGGCAGGTCTTGCCCACGTTGGAGTCCCCAATCACGATGATTTTGAAGATGCGAATCTGCACGTACTGGTCCAGCGATGAGTCGAGGTCCAAAGATGCTAGGCCAGCGGCTGAAGCAGGCTGCAGGTTCCCATGGCCCAGGATGGGCTGCGCCATCTCCCTGGGACCGGACTGGGGCCCCAACCCCCCTCAAGGGCTCCACACAAAGAAAGTGCCACGTTAGTGCGCTCGAGACGAGCGAGCTTTGTGCGTGTGTGTGCGTGTCTGTGTGTGTCCGCCCGTGTGTGCGTGCGCCGGCAACGTGTGTGTGCGCCGGCAACGTGTGTGTGCGCGCGCGCGCAGGGGGTGCCTCTCACCCTAGGCCCCCTCCTCCTCCAGCGCACCCTCCTTGCAGCTCCGAGGCACCAACACAAAAGCCAAGGAGAGGAGAGATGGAGGAGAGTGGACAAACCGCGAGCCGCCTTCTGCCTGTGTGTGCCCTAGGACCGGACGCTAGGGCATGTGATCCTGTTCCCGTGCCTTTGCCTAGACCCTCCCCTGTCTGGACCCCAGGGACTCACTGGAGGGAGGACGACTACCGAGGAAAGGAAGGGGGTGGGAGAGTACTTACACCACCCTGGGATAGTCTTCTTCTCTCCTTTTCCTATTTGTCTTATAGGTTTTAAGCTCCCCACCCTTCTCCCCCTCCCCCCTTGGCCGGAGCGCACAAAGTCAGTAGGCAGGGAGCACAGCTGGGGAGGACAAAGAGAGCTGCACACTAAGGCATCACTAGAGCACTTTGGCTTCAGTGCGATCAACTCAAAGGTAGGGGTGTGTGTGGGGGGGGTCAGAGATACCTCTTTTACCTCCGGAGCAGCAGGCAGCTGCACCGCTCCTTCTTGGTCCACTATCTCTCCCTCAACACCAACACCACCACCAAGCCTCGGAATGAAGGGATGCTCTGTCTTATTGAGTAAGCAGGTGCTCTGGCAGAGACCAAGGAGCCAGGGAGGGCGCTGC